AATGTACTTCTTTGGTACTCCTTTCAGTGACAAACACTGCCATAGAACCTCACGATCAACAGAGTCGAATGCCGCCTTAAGGCCGAGAAATACTACCATTGTGGGGCGTCTGAACGTGTATCTGTGTTCTAGAATCTGACGTAGTGTGAATATCTGGTCTATACAAACACGTCCAGGTCGAAAACCAGCCTGATTTTCTCTAGTCTGTTCTTCATGAGCTTTGGTTAGGCGTCGAAGTATTATTGAAGCTGATATTTTAGACACTATATTTGTCAAACTGATTCCACACACATCGATGTCGCGAGATTCCAAAGTCTTAGCTAAGGAAGCCTGTTGTCCTATTTGGCATAGTTTTCGGACATTGAAAGCTCCTTCGTGTAGGTTAGAGCGTGGTTTCAGAAGACCAGGAATAACGTTCCGCGTACTCGAATCGTTTGCCCTAGCGGTGCGAGGTGATAAAGAGACGTGAGGAGGGTTAGTCATGGAGATAAGAGAGGTATTAGGAGGTGTAGGAAGGATTTAAATGTGACCAACTTGGTCTCGTGTGCTGTTACGGGTATGAGGGCTGATATCACTTCCCGACTGCCCACACCGTGGAAGGGTATTTCTTGAGGAACCTGAAAAGGAAATTGGATTAGTGTTGGTCTTAACGACCTGGGAGCGTGACCGCAGAGCCCGAGGAACAACTGCTTGAGGCCGGTCGCGCACAGCCTTTTCGTGGAAGGTTTTTAATGTGTTAGCTCCGTTCTTCGAAAGGCCTTACTGCCGGAGACGGAAATCCGTAAGGTAAGGTGAGGTGTGACATTTTTAGGGTCGAGCTTTTCTTACCCCACCCCTCCTTGTGGGAAGGCAGCATCGCTGCAGATGCTGGTTGTCCGAGGGAAACACCTTACTGTTGTCACACCCCTCTACAATCAGAAGTACGACTTCGCCCTCAGACCTTGAGTTGCTGCTTTTAGTCTTACCGTTCTCCAATCGACCTGCCTGGCATGGTAGAACCTACAGGAACATATGTTCCAGCCAATATAGCTCGGTTGGGTCATCACGATAGGCAAGCCCGACCACCGCGTCAAGGTAGCAGCTGCGTCGGGCAAACAGTAAGTTCGGGTTTGTAGAATCTGAAATTTCTCCAACGTCTCATTAACCATCCTCAGCCGTAAATATTTATTTTAGTTTCGTGACATGCACAAGAAATCCGAGTTCATTCTTCCGCATGATATCACTGGTTTTATACTATTAACCTTCATTAGCCTTATGACGACCAATGACTTCTAAAATTGTTAGTGCTTAGAACAGAGTTAATATCGATTACTGAAGTTTCCCTATCAAGTCTCATATTATTCAGGGAGTTTTTCTTCGTAAAAGAAAAGAACGAGTCATATCTGCCGGTGTTACTGTAATTATTTTTTCAAAATTTAATAATTCCTCTTGAATTATTTGTAAAAACATCTAACAACATAATTACATTTTGCAACCGCATCTAAACAGACCGCTAGTTTATTGTTTTTACCTATATCCTGGACTTCTGAAAAAAAAATTGATGCTGTGGTTTTGTAACTTAAATACCTAACTCTTAATTGTCAGGTTTCACACCATAACATTGATTAAAACCCATTGATTAAATCAGAGACCGGTAGTATCAATAACGAAAATTGTGACTCAGAACCCAAGTACATGAATCTGTTGTTAATTACTGAGTTATATTAAAAATATTAGACAATGAGACAAGACTGTTCTGTGCTTTGAAGAAATTTGAAAGTTATAAGTGTCTTTAGTAGTTCATGTATTGCCTTGATTATAGTTATGACTTTTAGAAGTTAATTCTTGGAAGCATGTGATTAGTGTTATTTTGTCAAATATTTGCTCATCTGCTTCACGCGAAAATTTTCTTTTGTGTATCCTCTGATAGATGAAAGTTCAAGCACAGTAGAATCAATACATAAAAATTTGATTTCAAAAGCCCACTTATACTTGATGTAACACGTCTATCTTGCATTATTTATGAAGCTCTATTACCTTCTTGGTTAGAAATAAATGACTGTTGGTTCTAATATGAATTTCTTCTCCATTTATTTATTCTATAATTTAAAACACAAACATTGATACAAGGAGGCATCAAACAGATATGCGTCACATAAATCATTCGATTTGTGTGAGGGCTGTGTTGTTGCCAGGGTGCCCAGACCGAAACAGGTGGTATTCTTAGGGGGCCACATCCGGACCCTTTGACCTAAAGGTCTGATCCACAGGGGAGTGGAGCATCGTGAGGAGACGCAGTCCCATGGTAGCCAGTGACCAGCGAGTGGTTCATACGCTATTTTTCCCACAGGATACTGGAACCCTTGTGCATCATTGGTTTGGAATCAGGGTTTCCCAACTCCTCTATGTGGACTCGGCGTGTCCATCAACCCGGTTAAGGCGCCAGACATTCGCTTTTCGTCCTCTCAGTTTCGTAAACACCCTCGCCACGAGAAGGCAGTGAGTAGGACTTCCCGAGCAAAGGCTGTATACGTGTGACCGTGTGAGAGCATTTCGAGAGGGATGGCGGGCCCACCCCATTCTCAGTCATACCAGAGGATTTGTAGGGTTGCCAGGGAACTCCTACTCACTGCCTTCTCGTGGCGACAACACAGCCCTCACACAAATCGAATGATTTATGTGACGCATATCTGTTTGATGCCTCCTTGTACCAATGTTTATGTGTTTAAATAAATAAATAGACTTAAAAACGTACATTACTATATGCCTCAGCTAGAAGACCGCAACGCACCACAAATAAAACATATCAGTTTATGCGGAACTAGGTTATTTGTGGTATAATACTGAGTAATTCGTATACAATTAATCAGTTGTATCAATGAAAGAAACCTATCGTATCTATTTCTTTTGTTTTATCAATTGCAACTTATGAACGGTTAAAGATATGTCAGCAGTTAGTAAGTTAAGTGAAAACCTACAGTATTGTAGTTTACTCCAAGTCACAATGTAATTCTTTGTTCAAACCATTCTATCCATTCCATGCAATTTCCAGCCCTCGCTTTATTATTATGTAATATATATTGAAAGTGCTTTTTTTCTTGTATTGGGATTTTTCTAATATTGATTTTTCGTTTTTACTTTCCCTCTAACAGGTAGTGAAGAAGAGGAAAAGTCTGAAGATGACATGCAAGACGTGGAGGAAAATCCACCTGTTGACGATGAGGATAATATCTATTCTAAGAGACGTAGTGAAATAGATGATATGACAAAACCTCAAAGAAATGATTTCCAAAAAGGTACAAAACATTCAATATCCATTCATAAATCAGATGATAGATTAGAGGCCACTGCAAAATCTCATCGTAGTCATAAAAAACGTCAAGACAACGACAATGACAGTGGATCATCATCAAGTTCGAGTTCTTCATCGGCTGATGATTCTTCTACATATTCTTCATCTGATTCCGACCTTGACAACCGGCTTAAATCAATACAGAAAAATGCGAAAAAAGCTGAAGTGTTACAAAAACTCTCAGAAACCATTCATGCACCTTCACTTTCATCTGGAATTAATAGTGGTAGCAGTCCAATTGACAACCAACCAGTAAGCTGTGGCAATAATTCAAACTTAAAACGTTTACCTACTGATTTATCTGCATCTGTTAATTCAGACACCTCAGCAGATTCACCCGCTGCAAAAAAATTACGAAATGACACACCATCTGGTACATCAACAATTTCAACTGACAATGAATTAGTAAATACTGTACGTAAATACTTAATGAGAAAGCCTATAACAGTTAGAGAATTATTAAAGAAAATTCGTCTACGTAAATTGGTTGGTAAAAATGAAGATGCACAAACAGTATTGGCTAATGTATTACGTCAGCTGAGACCTATCAAACAGACAATTAATGGACAACACGCTTTATCTTTAAAACATTAATTGTCTGAAATAAAAGTTCTATTTTTTAAAAAATTGCATGTATAGACATTGCTTCTTCTTTTCCTAGTTATATTTATATATTTTTTAATAATGAAAAGAAATATATGTATATTTGTACACAAGAAATGTACATGTATTTTTAATAATTTATTTGAGCATATTCATTGTGTATTCTTTAACAAAACATTTTTTTGGAACAGTCGTCTTTCTCTACAAATTACTTATAGTTTGTGTTTGAAGTTTGCCTGGCTATAATGTGTGTTTGATTGCACTTTTAGTATAGAGTTATACGTTTGTCTTAACTGGTGCGAATATATTTCGAGTTGAGTGGGTAATTTCTTTTAATAGTCACTTAAAGTACAATACTCTTTCCGTAGGTTACTAGCGTTTTATCATAGATGCCCTGGGATCATTGCCCGCTCGTGGTGAGACAGCCGAGTATGAAATGTTGATGTTAGACACATGGTTCTAGGTAAGAATGACGAGTTGGTTTACGAGGTAGTTATTTGTTATTGATTGAGTAGATAGGAGAATGTGTTAGGGGATGGCCAAACGAAAACATGGCATCAACCCACGAAATCATTGACAGTTGAACTGAGCTGTGTAGGTAGGTGCAGTCTATTTTTCTAGAATCGGCGCATTATCCTAGATCAGCGGTTAGAGACGCTGGATTATATGTCTCGGGACCATTCATTCTTTTTCTTTCACTAGGTCTTGGGTTTTACTACTATACACTTTGTCGGGCTGGAGTTACTTTCAGCAAATTATATTGGGAAATTCTCGTTATGACCTGCTAAGTTTTTAAAAATCAGGACTTTTGTTGCATCATCTACGACACTTAATTGATGTACTTTGATTATATCTGAATTGGGATGTAACAAAGCTTGTTTTATAAGTAGAAAACACTACAAACTAGATAACGTCCTTCTGTGTTCAGTCGTTTCATAAGATGTTTTCCATGCTACTTATTATTACCGAGTAGTATAAATATTGTTTGTGTTCAACTTGAAATAAGGTGATTTGTTATCATTTTCACCACAGTACCAATCCTGTTGAAATTTCCATATCAATTTTAGAACGACGCTTCTCGATGTCATAGTTATCTTTATCCCATTTAATGATAAACTGGTTGATAATCTCTATCAGTGGCATATTGGGATTTGGATTGTTATCCTTTACGTCATCAATGTAAGTTCTATCGCGTATTCTTCACGTTGTTACCTCTGTCAGTACATTTTGAGTGATGAATGAAGTTAAAGGTCTTTCTTGTGAACTTCTTGATTTGTTCTAATACAATGACTCCTTATTGATTTTCATTAAAAGTGATAGATTGGTGTATTGTACTTGAAACATTCACTAAAAGTAAATCTACTTGGTAAAATTTCCCATCAGAAAATCCTTTTTTTGTAACCAAATGTGATAAGATTTTTCATTAATATACTGGTGGGATTAGCTGTATTTATCTATGATGCTGTTAAGATAAATAGTTTATCAAGAGAGAATGTGATTTATATAGTATTTGCAGAAAATATGGTCCTATTATGAGGAAATACTGCCAAGAGATACGGTCTCTTGAAGGCTTTGGATGCTTATCTGTGGATTTTTTGGAAGTGTCTGGCACATCCATATCAATTTATTGTAAAGTTGGACATGCTCCTCTAAATTGTTTATTTCGGCTAGGTAGAGAGGGTTCATTTCTATTTTGTCTTCATATTCTGCTTATGATTCTGACATTTTATGTATCATTCGATATCAAGGATGGGGTTTGCTTCGCTTGATTTCTGTGTCTTACATCATGGTTATAAGATGTACATTAAGAGTATCTTAACAGAGCGTGTTTGGTCATTTTCTCCCTAACTGTTACCATGTGTCAAACCTTAAACTGATGCACTATTGTGTGAAGTTTAACATTTTAGAGACCAATATGTTTTTTCCCGATTTGGTTTTCATTTTACTCTCTCTCCAATAAATATATCAAAAGAAACATGCCACAGCACATTTCAGTCTCTTATGCAATTTGAGGCGTAACCACAGGAATTCGCTTACATTACTTAAAAATGTTTATCGTTCTCAATCAAAATACTTCCAATTTCATGGATCTGCTATACAAAAAAAGCTTACACTACCAGAGTTTTAGCGAATTCAGTCTCAAACAAATTTGCCTGATTCTGGGTTACATTTGTTTGCTCATTACTTATTTCTATTTTGTCGCTCGACTTTCAACATTTTCACTTACCGACTATCTCTTTGATCAGTTATTTGAATAATCATCAAATAATTCCAGTTAACACTCTCCATTTGCTATTATTTTTAACTCATCTTTTCGTTTAACTTAAGGATCATGTCTGCATTTCGTAATCTAGCTTGGTTTTCAAAAGGGATGCGTGAATACACAAAGTAAGTAATTTTATTTAAAACTTAATATACGATTTCTTGAGTATGCAAATGATTATGTGGCATACATATCGGTTTTTATACATGGGTCTGATATTTTTGTCATATTTTGTCTCCTTTTGTTCTATTAATATATAACGTAATGATACCACTAATTAGAGAGCAGTGGCTTATCGACCGCACCAATGACGCATAACCACTTACGAACCGTCTAGGGTCCTTATCCATCCTTCTTCCTGACTAGCCCTACCTGCTGAGTCCAGAACACTAATCTCAGCCTCCGCTATATGAATCATGTGTTTCAAACGTACAGGGTTGGGTTTATATACACACCAAACAGACCACACCGTACCATAAAATAGGAAATAACATTTGTAAAAATCTAGCCAAAAGTTACTGTGAATGTGGGAGACTGTAATTAATAGATTGGGTATAACTCAAGAATGGCAAATCGCATAGTAATAGTCCGTGGATCAAAATAAAGCTTGCAATAGGATGAACCTGAATATTCATAGTTTAATTACTTAATTATACAATAAAAAGATATATATCGTATTAGTCTATAAATAGTTCACAGAAGGTACCATTCATAATTCTCGTCGGGATATAACAATTTTAATTTCTCAGCTGTGTCAAAATCCAGATTTATTTGAGCCTCATATTGTTCCACATACGTGTAATGCAGAAATAATGTCTTATTTAACTTATGCATGAGTATGTACTCAGCTCAGTCATACTATTTGTCTAGTGGATAGGGATACTATCGAATTAGAAAGAGTGGAGTTCGAAACTGTTACCGTTCTAGGATTAAAACTACCTTGCAAAGCAAAACTATTAAGAGCTAACTTCATCATTATATCACGGTTTGCTTGATACGTTATTAAAGTAGTATTAAATCAAATTACGAATGCAGTCGAGTTAGAATCCTGATGAGTATGTGTTTGACCATGTATTTAAGCGTTAATTTTGTTAATTCGAAAAGCTTGTATTCATGATATCCTTTCACGTTCCAAAGATTAGCTGTTAGTCTTTGTTGCACTCATATCTAAAAATATAACTGGCTAACTGTCAAATGCGTTTCTATTTTTAGCTTCATCTTGACATTACTTCTCCTTGCCTGTTACGTTACACTCTTAATAATTCCTCAATATTTCAAATTGTTTTATGGCTTGTTTGGTGGTGTGCATATTTTTTACGTTAATTTCATCATGTGTTCGCCGCTATTTGAAACTTAGTCTGTTTTGAACGATTTGCCATTCCTCTAACTTTTGATTTTTGCCGTTTCCAATGTGACCTAATAATTCTATGTAACTTGTGCACTTCGTATTCAATAACCATCAAATCAATATTAAAAATGGCCGAATGATTATTCAAAAAAGATATTTCAAGCTGTGGAAAAGTCGAGTAGCTGAAAAACTTTATTTATTGCTGAGTCATATACCACCCAATAGAAAGGAAGGCTGAATTTTTAGCCGGCCTAAACAATTTTCCCAGAATTTTCGTATCTCACTTCAAGGTCACACAACAAACAAATTAAATTACTGATCTACATTATAAACACCAGGCCTTTCATAAAAACACTAGACATGTTTCACGTGATGTTACGTGCAACTCTTTCATCAGAACCTCGGAATGCATTCTTTACTAACAAGATCTAATGTCTAAATTGTGTCTAGTGTTGTATGTGATCATTTACTACAGATCACTGCTAAAGTCCATTACTCTTTTTTCATTTATTCAGGTCAGGCTATGAGTCAGCTGCTTCACATTTTGATCCTAATGAGTTGAAAAATGTACGCTTAGACAATCACCGTGTTTTGATAACTGGAGCCAATTCAGGGATCGGCCTCGTGTGTTGTAAAGAATTAGCGAAACATGGTGCAGAAATCCATATGGTTTGTCGCAGTAAACCTCGTGCTGAAGAGGCACGTCAACAGATAATCTCTGAAGCTGGAGTCAATGATTCGGTTAGTTAATCTTTTTATCAAGAAGTATGATGAAAAAGTTTCTTGTGACTATCTTTTTCAATCTATGTGTCTTTTTATGAGAATTACTAAGAATGTATGCCGCTGGTGATGCTGAAGTCTCAAGTAATGCATTCGGAAGAAATCAATTTTAAAAATTCGCATATTGATTTAAAATGAACTTCGTTCAGTTAATTTTCAATCCATTGTTGATGTACTGCGGTTTTTCGTTCAGTAGTGATTGTTCAATCTGATAAAATTATGTATTAAATAGTCATTGACATATAATTTGAATAAACCTAAATGCAAATTAATTCTTCCGGATTCTCTATCAATGCAACTGCTATACGAAATGAAGTTTCCGTACAGTTGGCGGGAAGGAAAGAAAAGTATAGAAACAATCTCGTTCATCGTATTGAAATTGATGTTTTGGAAATTAGCTTAGTCTACAAACATATCGTCCTGTTCCTCGTTATCAAAATTACTAAGGATGCATACTGCTTGAACAATAAGTAATGGCTCTAAAAGGTTATTCAGCTCTTAAGAATATTTGTCGAATTTTGATTTGAGTTGCTAAAGCTACCAACTGGTATGTTTCGAACTCAATCATAGTAGTACGAATGTATTCACTCCTTATCTAATTACTGAATGTTCTGTGATGACTGATTATTTATTTTTCCTCTTTGATTTCTCATTTTTGTTAACCTTTTTCGTCATGCATTTGTCAATACCGATAGTTTGAAAATTAGTTCGTTTGACACGATGCCGGTGAATATCGATGATGCATGTCTTTACACGACGTACTGTAGGGAGCAATTTCCTGCAGGTTTAATTCTAAGCTATTCTCTAGAGCGTCGAATACAGAGCCTTGGTTTGGCCAAAGTCAGAACAAGTAAGCTATTTGGCTATATAAACTTTATCTGTTTCTAAAACATAAATTAACATCGTTAGTGTACTAACAAACAGTACGGTCTATTAATACAGGGAAAAACAGAGACAAATAACATACCGAACAGCAGCCAGAGAATAGGAAAAATGAGTCAACAAGCAAATATTGTTTTACAATGAACATCAAACTGTGATTGGTTAATAAAGAGATACAGTTGTACAAGGTTAAAAAGAGTTAATGTGGTGGTGGGCGTTTCCCTTATTATTGGTGTTTTTGTCTATCGATCGCATTTTACACGAACTTTTTGTAGTTTCTTGTATTAAGCAGCCTACAAAAATGTCAGCCCATCCCTTTATCTCCAAAATCAACATTTTTAACCAAATGTTTTAAAATACATTTCAATAACTCTACATAATGATAAATATGTGATATGGTTTGCTGTAATATCAATTATCCTAACTACCTTTTGAACTAGTTTATGACAAATTCCTTCTCTTCTAATCACTACTGCTCTAAACTAAATTTTGGCAGGAAGATTGATTTAAAAAAGAGGTGGGAAGAATTCATTTTGCACATTGGTTCATTTATTTATATACTGATTAAATCCAGTGTTTAGTAACTACGAAAATTATCAATGAACAATTGAACACAAAATTACCAACAATTAGTCGATACTATAAATATGTATTAAAATGAAAAGAAAAAAAAGTTCGCACTGAATTAACATGACAAACAATATTTGAAATCAATATTGAATTTCTTTCTCTTGAATTCTATCCGAGATCTTACACCCTCAGCGGTATAAGTCACTGAAATACTTCGACCGTATAGACGTTCTCCTACATGGACTTTAATCCTTATCGGGTTATATGCGTTACATTGGATTAAGGATTTATAAGCGACTGTCACCAGTTACAGTTGGTAGGTGTTCTAGTCTAAAAACAGCCAGCTGAAACTTTATATTTTTACCGATTTACACTATTTGATTGATCATGTTTATTGGCGGGGATAAATACAAAGTTTGAGCTTTCATTCTCCTGAACTATTTATTCAGGTTTCCAGTTGTTTTGTTATATTGTGTACAATTAATATTATTTATCTGACTTTTCTATGTTATGTAATAATACTTTATCGATAATTTGATTTTAGCGTATCATTATTCATCCATTGGATCTTTCTAAACCGAATGATGTCCGCAATTTTGGAAAACAATTTGCTAACAATAATGATTCACGTCTAGATATTTTGGTAATTAGCAATGATTGATTAATAGCTTCATTATTTCCATTTTGCTATATATTTTTTAAAATTATGTTCTTTGCTACAGTATATTTCATTTGTTTAGTTGTCACTGAGTCACTGAGAAAGTTCTTTTCTCTTCTAAATAGAAATTGATTAAGTTGTGTTATTATAATTTGGTCTAAATTTCACGTTGAATAAAGAAAATATCACATACAAATAATTTACAGATAAATTAACTTGATCTCTAAGTCTTTCATAAATATCTATATCTATGAATGTATTGTTTCAGTTAACTATTCAGAACTGTAAAGTTTATTCCTATACCTCAGAGATATTTCAAATGAACTCTATTATATCCTTATATAAGTTCATAACCTTAGTTGGAAATTAGAGTGGGATGCTATCAACAGGACAGATAATTAAAAATCGAAAAAAAATAAGTAAGGAAAAGAGACTCCCATATAACATGCAAAAAGACTCCATCTGTAAAACATTTCAAAATCGTAATTGAAGACTTTACTTACTTACTTATTCCTGTTACTCCTAATGGAGCATAGACCACCGACCAGCATTCTCCAACACAGTCTGTACTGGGCCTTCTTTTCTAGTTCTATCCAATTCTTGTTCATTTTTCTCATGTCTATCTCCATTTCCCGGCGTAATGTGTTCTTCGGTCTTCTTCTTTTCCTTTGACCTTGAGGATCCCATGTGAGGGTTTGCCTTGTGACGCAGTTGGGTGCTTTCCTCAATGTTTGTCCTATCCACTTCCAACGTTTCTTCCTGATTTTTTCCTCCGCTAGGATGTGGTTTGTTCTCTCCCAAATTCGGTTGTTGCTGATAGTGTCCGGCCAACGGATCTGAATTATTTTTCAGAAACATCTATTAATAAACACTTGTATCTTCTGGATGATGGCTTTCGTAGTTCTCCAGGTTTCTACCCCATATAATAGAACCGTCTTGACATTTGTATTGAAAATCCTGACCTTGGTGTTGGTTGACTGTTGCTTTCAGTTCCAGATGTTCCTCAACTGTGAATATGCTGCTCTTGCTTTGCCGGTCCGCACCTTCACATCTGCATTAGATCCACCATGTTCATCAATGATGCTGCCCAAATATGTAAAGGTTTTTACATCCTCCAAAGCTTCTCCGTTATGTGTGATTTGATTGGTGCGTGTTGTGTTGTATCGGAGAATCTTGCTTTCCCTTTGTTTATGTTGAGACCTATTGCTGCTGAGGCTGCTGCTATATTGGTGGTCTTCTCCTGCATTTGTTGTTGCGTGTGCGATAGAAGAGTCAGATCATCTGCGAAGTCTAGATCGGCCAGCTGCATCCTAGCTGTCCATTGTATCCCACATTTCCCCTCAAATGTTGACGTCTTCATGATCCAGTCGATCACCAGGAGAAAGAGAAAAGGTGAGAGTAAGCAACCTTGCCTGACACCGGTCTTTATTTAGAACGACTTTGTCAACTGTCCTCCATGCATGATTTTGCAGTTTAATCCATCATAAGAATTCCGTATGATATTGACTATCTTCTCAGGTACGCCGTAGTGTCGAAGAAGCTTCCATTGTGTTGTTCTGTGCACCCTATCAAATGCTTTTTTGTAGTCAATGAAGTTGATGTAGAGTGATGAGTTTTATTCAGTTGATTATTCCACAATGATCCGTAGAGTTGCGATTTGGTATGTACACGACCGATTCTTACGTAATCCTGCCTGTTGTTCTCGAATTCGGGCGTCTACGCAGTCCTTCATTCTGTTTAACACTACCCCATTGAAGGCTTTTCCTGGTATTGAGAGAAGAGTGATGTCCCTGTAGTTATCACAGTTGCTGAGACCGCCTTTCTTTGATATTTTGACCAGAAGTCCTTTCCAATCTGTTGCTACTTGTTCCTCATCTCAAATCTTGCTGAAGATAATGTAGAGTATCGCCGCAGTTACTGATACGTCTGCTTTTAGCACCTCAGCTGGAATGTTGTCTGGTCCTGCTGTTTTGCCACTCCTGGTTTGTCTGATGGCCATGCTGATTTCTTCAATTGTTCGTGGGTCAACATGGATTGGGAGGTCCGTGGGTGCTACTTCGATGTTGGGTGGGTTCAGTGGGGCTGGTCGATTCAAGAGTTCTTTGAAGTGTTCTACCCACCTGTTTTGTTGTTCTTCGATGTTGGTGATTACTTTGCCCTCCTTGCTTTTCCTTGGTCGTTCTGGTTTACGATCATTTCCAGAGAGTTTCTTTTTTATGTCATACAGTTCTCTCATGTTTCCTTCTCTCGCTGCCTTTTCAACCGTCATTGCTAAATCTTCCATATATTTACGTTTGTCGGTTCTGATGCTCCTCTTCACTTGTTTGTCTACTTGTGTGTATTCAGCTTGTGCCTTGGCTTTTCCTGTTCTTGTTCGGCTGCTATTGATTGCTGAACTTCTTGTTGATGCAGATATGGTCGATTTGGTTTTGCGTAGTGTGATCCGGTGAAGTTTATGTGATTTTCGGAATGCATTTATGTGGGAATATAGTTTCGCCCATGACCAGTTTATTGAAGGCACATAGGTTTGCAAATCTCTCACCATTTTCGTTCCTTTCTCCCCGTCCGTGTCGTCAGATGATGTCTTCACATCCGGTGTTGTCCTTTCCAACCTTGGCATTTAAATCTCCCATCTGAATGGTCAGGTCCTCTGTTTGGCACTTCTCGACGATTGACTGAAACTTATCGTAGAATTGATCTTTAGTTTCCTCATTGTAGTCGATGGTAGGCGCATAGCATTGGATGATGTTCATTGCCATGCCCTCTTTCTGTGTTTTGAAGGAGGCTTTGATGATCCTTGGTCCATGAGATTCTCATCCTATAAGTGCATTTTGTGCTCGTTTGGACAGCATCAATGCAACTACTTGTGTATGTGGGGCATTTTCTTCTTCATGGCCGGAGTATAACAGAAGCTCTCCTGAAGCTAGACGTTGTTGTCCAACTTTCGTCCAATATGTTTCACTGATCCCAAGCATCCTTAGGTTGTATCTCTTCATTTCTGCAGCAATTTGGAAAACTCTCCCAGTCCCCCACATTGTACGAGCATTCCATGTACCTAAATAAATGGTTGTTCTGGTTGTCAGAAGGGGCATCGGCCCCGTGACTTCCGAAGGAACTCGGCTTTCATCATGAGGCGTCATAGTTCTTCTAAATGAATACCTTCTGACATCCAGGACAGCGTTTCAAAGGTGTGAATATTTTCTTTCTGGTTAGCGTTTTTTTAGCGAGCTATTTTTCTACGGGATGGGGTCGCTAACCCCATGCCCAACCCTCCTCCTTTATCCGGGCATGGGACCGGCCGTAGCCCGAGGTGGGATTCCAGGCGGAGTTAATTGAAGACTTTAGATGCTATGTATTCTCAATCATATTAATTATAACTAGAAAATTATATCCTTCTTTCTTAGGTCTAAAATCTACATTGATTTTATAATTTGTTTCTATATCTCACAATAGTTATTCCAAAACTCTGTTGACCGTATTTCCGAACCTTAGACGTAAATATAAATTATAATTAATTACAAGCAGCACGTGTGCTACCATGTTCTTCATTTGTATAAAAAACAGAATCCACCACTGTGTATCAATTAAAAAGTGGATTAATACTTCATCATGTATTGATTTCTAATCGGTATCTGTTCTTTAAGAGGAGATATTCTCGAATTCCTAAATAATCAATGACATTTAATTTGACTGCATCTATGTTCTGACTATGTCACGACAATATTTTCTCACTATACCATCATGCGATTGTAGTTAGAAATATCAGTCAAAAAGTTTCACTATGCATAACTATATTTGTTAAGATTGGGCGAATAGATGAGAATTTAAAACTGCGAAAGATAAACTTTGATAAGTATATTTTTAACGTCAGTATATTAAAAAGTGGTACATGTTACTTTTATATTGTCCTAGTTTTTGACCTTTATTTCACTCATTAACTGTTGCTACATCTGATATGTTCGCACATTAACCAAATTGTTTGCAACTCCGATTTCAATGCAGCAAATTAAGCTAGTTCTATCTTCATCCCTGCCCTCTAAGTGAAGTAAAAAATTCAGATTGTGTAGAACATTTTTTAATAAAGACCCCAGTAGGACTGGTTTTTATAGAGAGAATTGGCTTGCTTATATTATGAAATACTAACATAAACATGGTAAACTGACATAGTCAACTAGAGAGAATTCGTTTGTAGGTCATTTAGCCTCTAACCTATAATTGTTATACCTAGCTTAAGGGCTCGTATTAACATCTTTTTCTGCTCATAAATTATCGTAACTAATTATAAACCTGTTATTCAGCTTTGTACCATAAACGTCCTGTGGTGCGTGCTACTTATATTGACATAAGTAATATATAACGCGAGTCAGGAATGTAATGTCTTGTAGCAGAATATTGGGAAGATCAAGAAAAAAAGGACGAGAATAGAAAACAACTAGTATAGAAATGCAAGAACAATCAAGTCCGAGACAATTATGGAACATTTTGCAAATTAATTATTATAGTATGGTTTTCCTATTTAACCAAGTAACGCTGTAATGTTATGCTAAATATAATTCGATTGTCCTCACCTGTGCTTTCCTTCGCTACGGTCCTAATTATGTATGTATTGAGTTTGAATAATCATGGTGCCTCATGGTCTTGTATTTTATCTATATCATGAGGCGAGCCTTGAATTCATTTAGCTGGCTTTCTGGTGTTCTGTTTGGTAGTTTTGAGATCTGTTAAATGATTGTTACTATGTCTAATGAGTTTATGGAACTCAAGTTAACAACATAGGTAAAACAGTGGAACTTAAAGATATTTACCAAAAAAGTTGATAACTTTTAGTTTCATTTTACTTTCCGTCATTATTTTTCAGTGTTGAAGAACTAATATCAGTAAATATAGTTTCACCATATGGTTGCTCAGTTGTCCGTAGTTGTTACTAATGGTTTTGGTTACCTTCGTATTTATCAGATTTCGTAAACCACTTGACTGATTCACAGTTTCAGCTTACAACCAGTCCATTTTTATCAACCTATGAATTTCTTTATTTTAAATGCTTAATCTTACATTAATTTGTTACCTCATAATTGCTGTTTGCTTTCATATATCTATCTTAAACTACCATAGATTAATAATGCTGGTTGCATGATTAATGAATATAAAACTGATGAAAACGGCATAGAAGCTAATTTCGCCACAAATACACTTGGTACTTATATACTTACTGAAAGTCTAATACCTGCATTAAAAAAATCACCTGATGTAAGTATGAACAATAATTTGATAACATTTTGTGGTTTATAGATTATGTAGAATGATTAGCTTTAAATCGTTACTGTAACCCAGTCAAGTAATTTACCAACTAAATTGTCCAACGTTATATCAGTCCAAATATTTCTTTGATATAAAAGGGCATGCTATTGAATTAATAAGTTTACAATGTGATGAGTTTTCGAGATCGGTAGTATATATATATGTCGGTTTCAAGCGACTGTTACAGAATTTATATTCAAATATGTTTAAAAATCCCCATAGAATATTCAAAAACGAAGAATATTTGAGCGAACAATTGTTTTCAATAACTTCATCATCAGGCTCTACAGTTATAAGTCCATAATTATAATATTTTACAAAGGCCAAAAATAAGGCATGTTTTAATGAGTTTGACAATGTTATGTGTTAAAAATGGGGAACGTTTGCATCTGTTACGATATATATATATACTTCAAAAAAATTGTGATATTTGCAAATTAGAAAGGTCATTCAATAAAGGTCAGTAAATTGTTCAGTCACAATAAGATAATAGTACTATTGCAAAATTGTCAACTGAGATAATAATATTGTTGTGTGAATATAATGTGTAATAAGGGGTGTGTTATCAAGGTAATTACGGTCAACAATTTGGGAATGATGGATATGAAGATTAAGATATAGATAATGACAAATAATGATAATAAGGAAAATAAATAAAAATGAAGGAAGGGGTAAGTGGTTTATAATATTCAGTCTAGGTATTTGGTAATTCACTTTGTCTCAATACTGAATATTAACTATTTTCAAATACGTAATGACTTTAGAAGACAAATATTGCAATTTTCAGACGTCTAGCTAGATTACTATTAAACTACTCACTTAATTTAATCTCTATTTTTTTTAAAAATAAATTATTTATTGGTGTTTTTTGTCTGTTTGTTAGTTTTCATGTATATCTTGCACCTATGTTGTTATTACATGTTGGGCACGAAATACAGTTAACCAATGTCATGTATATCAGGTACTTCTTAGTTATGATCGAGTCCTATCGACCAAGTTGCAATTTGGCCGCCAGTCTATTTGATTCGACATTGCGTGCACTATGTTGAGATAAGATGGTGGTTGGATGTAGTCGACAGGATACCCTGGACTTAGGTTTCGTGATACTTGGGACTTGTCAGCAAGGTTTACCAGTAATCTTGAGGACATTGATCGATAGGATTCGATCGGCACTAAGAAGCACCTAACATACATGACACTAATCACTACGCAGTGATCAATCAATTGTAAATATATCTCAGTCCTACAGGAGGTCAGACGCGACCCGGATAGCTCAGTGGTAGCGTCTCTGACTATGAGGCTGGATCACACGGGGTCGAATCCGTTAGGCAGCATCTGGTCCCTAAAGCTTACGAGTACACCTTGCTGACAAGTGCCAAATAGCACGAAACCCTAGCTCCAGGGTTTCCTGTCGACTAATACCAACCATCATCTTAAGAAATATGCTGTTTGAGCGACAGTTGGAGTTCTTAGTCAAATTACTCACGCAGCTGCTGAATCACTCATAATTTGGAGATGCGATGGAAGTGGATGGATTAATTTCTCAATTGCACACTGAGCTGGAAAATGATTGCAGCCTCCATGAATCCTCGACAAACCGTATTTCAAACGATACAGCAGTCACTCAAGATCCGCCCAGTGGTCCAGTACTCTCCATTTTGGAATCATGCCCGGTAATGGATTCAAACTCCATTATCCCCGAAACAGCATGTGCTGGAAGTGACTTATCCAGCTCACAAACAGACGCCCTGTGAAATGTCCATAGAATTATCGCAGTAACCGCCCATTAAACAGAAAACAAATCGAGCAGTACACTGAATCCAGCTGCTCCAAATGGATCTCATCATTCAGCGACAGAAGTTTCTGACGAATCTAATTATCGAGATTCTCTTTTACCAGAAATTATGTCAGATGCATCAAATGATGATCAGAAACCTAATACAATTTTGATAGATGCTGATTACCTTGATGATCCATTATCTACAAATGAGGTTCCCAATAAACTTAGTCACAATATTTCAGAAGAATCAAACTTCGATTACCTCATATCAAGCGTCGTTCAGCCTCACCACTCAGTCACTTTCAGTCGATTCTCTGCTCAGTGCGACAAATATGTTTTAAATAAATCCAAATTAATTGTAACTTGGGAGTATGAGGACCCAACACTGTTCCGTGGGGGAGGATGAACCCGGAAAATTTAAAGTCCGGATATCAACACCGGATCTTCAAAAAAGGAGAGGTGTGTTAGGTCCCGATAAACATAATGAATGGTAACTTTGGATTCTTTTATGGACCAATACTAAACGTATATTTTTATCATATGATTGTTAAATAACTAAACTATTCATATTCATATCCCTCTTATTATAAACTTTATTTTGACCTATGAACCATTATTATACGTTTTATCATTCTTGAATTTTACCCTGTCTATTAGTTACTGCCTCATACATTCACAGCCATATTTGGCCAAATTTTGTACAAATGTTATTTTCTATTTCGTGCTACGTTGTGGTCTGTTTGATTGGTATATAAACTCAGTATGTTTGAAATATAAGGATTCATATTACAGAGGCTGAGACTGGTGTTCTGGATTTAACTGGATGGGCTAGGCGGAAAGCGGGACTAGTCAGGACTCTAGGCTTCTCGCACGTGTTTTACGCGTCCTTGGTTTGATCGATAAGTCACTGCTCTCCGATTGGCGGTCAAAAGATATAACAAGTACACATATTTATTTATCAATGACTGTTCACTATATACCTATCAACATAAAAATCAAAATAATAAACTGAAATATAAATGAGCTACTTATTAAATACATAGAATGAACATCCATAAAATGTGAAAAAGGAACGGTTGACAATGTTACAAGCATTGACATAAGACACGGAAAAAGATCTTTTAAAGATCATATGAACAGACCTTCGAATGCTTTACATATCCTTTACAAAAAACTCACTGGGATCATCTTAGCTACTGTTAAAATTCCAACATTTTGTTGAATTCACTGGATATCAAGATTTTATTTTGAACACATACAGAAATAACAAAAATACTATGACGGCATTTAGAAATCTTAGTGACGTTGTTACTTAACTATTTTACAGCACTTCATGACAGTGGAGCTAGATTCTATATTTAGAAATTTTAAGAGAATATATTGTGTGTTAAGCCAACTTTCATTGGTTAGATATAACGTATTTTATTTTGTCATCTAATATTAATCTTAATGATTTGAAGTGATTTTTCGATTAACATAATTACTTTTATAAACAGCAAACCTTCTAGTAAAGTCAGCTAGTTATTCGATCAGATAAGTCTGGTCATTCATATAATGTACATTTTTTTATAATATCCAGTCGATCGAAAATAAACTCTTAATATATACCACTTATGCCTGTTACCCCTCGTGGAGAAGCTTAGGCTGCCCATTGACACCCTCCATCGAACTCTGTCTCGGGCAATCCTTTCCACTTGTTTCCACTTGCTATTCACCCTTTTGATGTCTACTTCCACTTCCTGACGCATTGTGTTCATTAGTCTTCCTCTTTTCCTCCACCTGTAGCTCTTCTACTGATACTGCCGATTCTAAGTCCTGGTTAAGAAGGAACGTTGGGCATAGGGTCGGAAACCTCATCTCATGGAACAAAACGTTGCCAAAACACTAATCAGAATATCTGAATATATAGTCAGTGTCAAAATTCTATTCATGATAATGATCAATATTAGAGCTGGAATATCAACTTTTTAGTAGTTTTTCATTCTATTTATTTAACATTTATAAAATATACATATATAATTATTCTCTTTTACTGTTAACACTTCTCACCTATCGTATATAGGCTCGTGTTATTACTGTTAGCTCAGGTGGAATGTTAGTACAGAAATTGGATCATGCTGACCCAATGCTTACAACTAGGCACAACAAATTTGATGGAACAATGGTTTATGCACAAAATAAACGTCAACAAGTTGTTATGACTGAAATGTGGTCTAAGAACTATCCAGAAATATTCTTCTGTTCAATGCATCCTGGTTGGGCTGATACACCAGTAAGTGTTACTGGCATTATAGTTTTTAATAATTCTGATAAAAAGTAGTTGAATAGCAAGTTGCTAAGCGTTCACTTATTGTTCTTTCACATCAATATAAACGACAATCATCCGTTTAACTATTACTAGATAATATCTTTCTATAAGAGAGATCTCATTTAGTAATACGTAAGCTACCGTTTATTAAATAAAAACGACTGATTTCATTCAGAAACTTTCGAATTCTCCTACAGTCGAGATATTACCTAACAGGTATTCCTTACATTCTGTTGTTATTCACTATTTTAATTCTTTAGATAAAGTTGATTACGATCTCATGGACAACGTGTTTCCCTTAGAAGTCTTAAATATATTTAGCTGTTTTGTAAATAATATAATACGATACTTCATATCAGCGCTTATTATCCACAACTAGGACTTATCCACGCCTTTTGTGTGATTTCATGCTTTGACCATTTTTTCCGTACTTCTTTAGATATTCTCTTTTTTTAAATATATAATTTCAGGCTGTCGCACTGTCTATGCCATCATTTTACAATAAAATGAAAAATAAACTGAGAACACCAGAACAAGGTGCAGATACAGCGATCTGGTTAGCAGCGGTACCAAATGTGAGAAGATTCCAAAACGGTTCTTTCTTCCAAGGTTGTTTTTAACAAATATCTCCTTTTTTCAATTATACCTCAAAATTTTGTTGTTCTTGTTTTCTTCATAGTCATCGTCATCATTAAAAATCTAGCGCATAATTTGGCACATTCGGTACTTGTAGGCTAGGTATAGGCTTTCTAACCCATTCCTTATCCCCGAAAATCTGTAATTAATCCCTGGAGAGAACAAAAAAAGGAAAGTATGAGAAGACTCTCCACTTATAAGGTTTTTTTCAGGTATAAAAGAAGAATATTTTCGAGTTTATGTGTCATTAATTATGAATAAAAATAATATATTTGTAATATCCCAATGAGTAGAAAATTGGATTTTCTGACGTTTCGTGACTTCGTGTAAGTCACCTCTTCAGAGAATAAATAACCAAATTAAAATTAATCCAAGTTTAAATAGTACAACGGAGCAATGCAAGAATAATATTTGATCAATCAAAAAACAGGTCTGAACAGGTTGTTGTCATGTCATTTCTGTCAAGATGATTCATAAGTGATATTTATGTAAATTTGTGTGTATGTATATGTGCATTGTTTAAGAATGAAATCTTGTGTGACCTTTATTGTCATTAATTGTTTAGAAGATCCTAGAAGCATGCTAAAATCAGTGACGAAAGTAGTTGCTATTCAATAAAGGTATAACACAATCCATCTTTTTTCTCTAGGACTTCAGAAAGTATCTATTAACCCCTAATTGTACAAGGTGTTTAAAGCCTTTTTCCAGCTTTTGGAGACTGGTGAAAATAATTATGAATTGTTTATTGAGCTATGTATTAGTGTGTTTTAGTTGTGAAGCCGCAATGTATGAAAATGAAAGTTTTGGTTCCTTAGTACTTTTTATACTACAAGTTGATATTCATTGAAATTAACTTTTGGAATATCTGCATCCTAAAAGATTTATGTTTTACAATTATGGATACTCTAAATATATAACCTTTGAATATCATGAAAGTGAATCTTTAATCCAATGTATACAGCTTTGCTGACTGACATTTTCGTTCACTGTATTTTTATATACTTATTACTTTTGCATACGATGTAGTCGATTATTCTCATATATATAATGATTAAAAAATTGTAATCATTGTGTTCTCTCATTTTGCAGATCGTCAAGTAGTTAGTCAACACCTAAAATTAGCTTGTACACATTCAAAGGATGATGAGAAACGTAAATTCATGTCTAATTTAGCTGATATTGCAGCACCTTTTTTTAAATAAACTCTACCCTAGTCGGTAAAAAAAAATTTTCACCGCTTATATTTAAAACAGATGTGTTCGAGTTTTATTCCTTATGCTGCGTAGTTATGGGCTATTTTTTTAGTTAGTTTGTCTTTTTTTACCACAACTAATTTATTCTGTGCTTCAATTTATCTTATAACTTTAGTTTTTTCTATGTGGATGTGTATTTCAATTCAGGGAGTATAAATAGTGTGTTGCTCAATTGTGATATTATATAAATGATCATTTGCCGTTGTTTCTTTTTTCGTAAACTCCATAATGTGTGAGTTCTACATGACAATACAAGACACTTTCAATATTTACAATGTAGTTTTAAATATTCAATTCAACTTTTTATATAAATTTATATCTCTCAGGGCTATTCTTTTACAAATTCTAATGGTATATCATTACTAATCTTCTCAATATATATATATATTTGTTTATAAATATACTTATATATTTTGAATTCTAAGAATTAATCGCTCACTGTCACTTTCAACTATGACGATCTGAAACTTCCATGCGTCAGTAATCAATTAAAAAAACCAGTTTCCTCATGGACACATCCTCCGTTTAGCCGTACAAATCTCGGACCACATTAAATGCTAACAGATCCAGAGCTTCAGTAATGTCTGTGTGACCTAGTGAACGTCGTCGCTTTATTTCAGTGTCCGAATCTAGTAGATTATGCACGATATCTTAAGTCTTCCTAATAAGAACAAAGCAAATAACAAGACTTGCCAATAATTCGTCTATGAGGATAGTAGTGATGGTGTCTATGGATTCTTTAGAATTCTTCCTGTGTTTGATTTCACTTATGCGGATTACTAATCTTGGCTGTGTATCCAGAAAGGTTGTACAATAATGAATTTTTCATGATCAACTACAGGTCTTAGTGGCACATCTGTCTTAAGGATTATTTCAGCCCATTGAATCTACAAGGGTTGGTGCTCTTCGGATAGAAATAACCCCAGTTTGTATTTTAAGGTCCGTAGCATTTTGACTGTTTCGTCTTTTGGCCTACTTGGAATAGCTCTGAATTTGTTGATTATGGTTTTCGCAATTTTTATTGAAAAGAAGAGTAGTCTCAATCAGTAGGATCATTGGAATTCAATGTAAGGTAATGGGAACTATGATCCCTACATGAAATAAGTGATCAAATTTTTAGCTTTTATGTTCTGACATCGACACAGATGTTTGCGGCCATCTAATCAATTAACCTAAGTTTTTACAACGCGACTGCCGAACAACTTGGCTGGAGCCAAGAAGTGTTTCGCTGGCTCTACAGTGTACCTTAGCAAATTGTCACAATCATACTGGGAGCCTTAACTGGCACCGGTCCTCACTAAAGATACACATGCCAACTGTCCACGAATTCTCTTTCTTCACGGTTTGAATTTAAAATGGAGTCGTGGCGTGTGGCCGTGGATTAAGGATTAATCATAATCAACTTCCATAACATCAAACTTATGACCTGCACATTATAAAAGCATACGATGGTTGATCAATGTACATAAGAGAACTCATTACTACGATTTCGCAGTAAACGTTTCTTAGTTCTGGAAAGTGAGGACTTACGAGGGTCATGAAAACTGTAGAAGTCAAAAATAGACTTTAACACGACTTCTGACGGATACTTCACAAGAAAACCCGAAATTTATTTTAGTTCAAGTAGCACTGTAAGATAATGTCTGGGATGTTTATCCCAGGTCAGTTTCCTTATTACTAGCAAATATTTCCTCTTAAGCCACATGTTCCAGTTCATTGCGTTTGATCGGTATGTGTTGGAAGTATTTGACTTTGGTGAGAATCGGTAAATTTTTCTAATTTCTTTGACCTGCTTGCTAAATTAATTGCTTGAATTCGGGTGACATTTCGCCGACCCTACAAACTTTGTGTTACTATGGTTTCGGAATTCTTTCTTAAGAATTCTGTAGGTCAATAAAATGTCACAATGCTCTGGCTATATCAACTGGCGGTCAAATTACTAAATATTGAGCAGTCAAATGATTTTCGTTAAGTTTAAGGATAATCAACGAACATCAGTTAATTGCATGCCACGGACTGATCTGTGTGTTGGGGGTGGCTTACTGTCCTTTGTAGCTACTCTATTTATTACATTTCCGTAATAACTTCCTTTGAGGTGAGCGGTCATTAAAGTGGCCATAATACACGGATATGACGAAAGGGTATTGTGTGATAAGCATTAGCCGTGCAATATGACTTCGATGTAAGTTGGTTGGTTACATCTTGCTCATCTCACTCGATTAGGCTCCCAACCATTGAACAGAGATCTCGTATGTTAATGATCTAAAGTCAATGAAAACTCAGGGATTTTTGAAGCCAGCATATACTTTTCTGTGGTGTTTGAATTGACTAATGATACTTTTGGTACATGTTGATTGCACAATTTCGAATTCCAAATACAGTACATTCGTTTGTGCTTGTGACTTCTTAATTCAATTGCGTTATTTCTTGGAATCTTAGTTAGTGCTATAATTCAAATAATTCGAAACATTATATTGGCGTCGCGATTGAGCCTGCAATGGAAAAGTTCTGAAGCTTTTGAGGATTATTTCGAAAGGTTCGAAATCTGGGTCATGACCAAGGAAGATGATGAGCACATTAATATTGTGGCATATTTCCTCACATTCATCGGTAAAGAAGCATACAGCTTGTTAAGAACTCTGGCTGTGCCGGAAAAGCCCATTTCGCTTCCTTATACAACTCTCAAGGAATTACTACTAGACTATGTCAAGTATGCAAATTTTGATTGCAGTAAAGAAGGGGAATTTCCTAAAATGATTCATCAGGACATCAAAAATTCTACTACATCACGTTATCCTAATCCAGTGCATACTCAAGGTTATGCAGATAATTCATTGAGGAGTTGCAGTGCGTTTCACGAAGATTGGCGCAACTTTGGTCAATGTTTGTCTTGTGGCAAGTTCCATGCTTTTAATTCATGTAAATTTCGTAATTCTTAATGCTTTAAATGTGGTGATATTGAACATATTCAGTCAGTCTGCAATACTAATGTTCATGTTATTGCAACTAATATTAAGTCTTGTAATTCCGATTCTACTGAGTCTAGTATTCATAATGATGATTTATCTTTATCAACTATTGCAATAGACAGTGTAGAGTCAAAAAGCAGTTCAGAGTTAAATGAAATCCAGAATTCTTGTGAGACAACAGTTCCTAATCAACCGATTTATCAGAATTCTCATGCTATTGTACCAGGTATGACTTTTCCTAATGATTCACATATTTCTGATGAAATTTCTTACAAATCTGAGGAAAATATGTTAAATGAACCTATTCATTATCAAAAACCTGAGGCAGTCATGATAGATGCTAATTTTTCTAATGATCCATTGCTCTGCAATGACATTCTTAGTCAATTTCATGAAAATATTTCAGTAGAATCAAATGCTGATGTCATCTGTATTACCTATCCTCATAATGCATTTGATCCTTGTGAAAAACCTGTTCAATACGAAGCACGAGTATTAAGTGAGCTCAATTTTGATTACAATTCTGATGATTTCATATCAACTGTTGTTCATCCTTATCACAAAAACACTTCTAATGTTTACTCTAATCAATGTGAGAAATATGTTTTAAATGAAGCCACATTATTCATAACTTGGGAATATAGAGACCCAACATTATTTTGTGGGAGGGGGATAGCGTTGAAAAATCTATGGTTCCAATTCGAGATATGAATCATTTCAGTACAAAACCGATATGTTGATTGTATAAAATTCCAGGTGTGTCTATTGCGATTTCGTTTGTTAATTCTCATACTAATGAGCACATTCTAGATACTACAAAGTTTTCATCCAGTACAATGTCGGACAGACTCAGGATGAACTTAACAAGAAAACATACAACCGATCGCAAACACTTATACTTCTATTTGAGCTGTGGCGGATGTGGTGTTGCAACTGACTAATGATACTTTTGGTACATGTTGATTGCACAATTTCGAATTCCAAATACAGTACATTCGTTTGTGCTTGTGACTTCTTAATTCAATTGCGTTATTTCTTGGAATCTTAGTTAGTGTGTAGCGGTAAATAAATCCCCAAACTAAATAGCTCAATAGGTTTTCGACATTGGATGCTGACCATATGTTTTAGTGGACTCATCTAGCTGAAGGCGCTCGGTCATGCATCCGCACCAGATCACGTGCTGTCACGCTGTGCTCAACAACAACCGCAATCACTAGCCAGATTAGATCAGAGATTCCCGATATATTGGTTATCGCCAAATACACTCTTCCGATCTCCTCGACTCTGTCTTTTGATTTCTCTCGGTGGGAACAAAGCATATTAGAAGGTGTTATTGGTAGAAGCGTTGTCAAACACTGAATACCTGTATCATCCTCATTGGTGAGACCGTCGTGATATGGTACACCTAATTGCAACTGTGAGTCTGTTCCTTTTTGGAATTTTTATATATTATTACCTTAATTTTTTTTAAACATTGTGATTTTTTTCGTGTTTTTCCTTGGATATATATATATATATATTTTTTTTCAACTCGTTCATTATCGTACTTCATATTTCATCATGGCTGAACAGACACCCAAAGTACTCAAACTTAAGACTTTGTCCCCGCCTTCGTTTCAACTAATGCCTTTCTGGCCCGACAATATCGAAGCCTGGTTCTGCTACGCAGAATCCGATTTCTCCGAGCACGGCGTGATCGACACACGTGCACAATTCCTCGCAGTAGTCAAGGCACTACCGCGCGAATTCAACAGGTACGTAACACCTAGTATGTTTACTAGTGATGTTTCTGAACCTTACGAAATCCTAAAACTTTCGATTCTTAAACGAGGAGACCTAACCGATCGACAAAGGTTAGATCAACTCTTCAATAACATCGACCTGCAACACGGTTCTGCGACTGACATGTTGCAAAGAATGAGAGAAGTGATAGGCCTAAGGACTTTCGACGAAGGTCTATTTAAACAACTTTTCTTGTCTAAACTTCCTCAACAGGTGCAAGCGGTTCTGGTCTCGTTTCAGAACAACGCCTTAGACGAGCTAGCTGCATCTGCCGATCGTATTTTAGAAATAACGAAATCGTCTACTTCAGAGGTATTTTCCGTCAAAGAAAATCCTCACGCGACTCAGAATGACATAACCGAGTTATGTCATACACTCACGCGTTATCTTAATCTTCGTAATGACCGTAATCGTTCACACAGCCCACGTAGAAGCATTTCACGTAAGCGATCTGTCTCGAGACCTCGAGAGACGGATAACCCCGACTGGTGCTGGTATCATAACCAGTATGGAAAGTCTTCCAGAAATTGCAGAAAACCCTGCAATTTTTTTAACACGAAACCAACTGACTCGAAAAACAACTCGGGAAACTTCCAAGGCGGCACGCGTTAACGGCAACCGTAGTCTGCGAACACAA